CGCTGAAATGATCGCTCATGCCCACTCAGGTAGCTCAAATCCTCCTCCTCCGAATCAGTTTGGTGTGCATTGCTCATCTTATACACAGGATCATTTGGAGGAGAGACTGCGCTTGGAAAGACGTGGCCACCCTGTTTTGGTGGTGAGAGAGGTATTGATTGGGCTTATTTCTTAAGATGGAAGCCTTCTGTATTGTGCTTATTTCGAAGGCCAGGCAAGTTGCCTTGCGAGGCGAGGCAAAGAGAGGCTGGGAGTGGTGGCTGCGGCACTCTATCCAGCCAGTTCACCAAACTCCACAAAAAATTAGCTACCAGTTCTACTAAACTGGTGCAAACCGGGTGAATCCCACCACTGGCCTTAGAAATGTTGGACAGATGATAAAAAAAACTTTAAATGGCGAGGGCCAAGAAACATTTTGTGAGCAGCAGGCTCCAATCATGCAATTTATCGCCTTTCTTTGGATGATCATCCAAAGAAAGGCTATAAACAGATGAGCTTTGCCTATGATCAAAATACTCTACCTCAGTACAGAGACTGAAGGGCTTTAGATGAACTCAGAGGTCATGCATGGAGAACAGAATATCTTGTAAGATGCCTGAATGCCACAAATTTAAGAAAATTGGTTATTTTGTGGCTGTACATCATACTTTTAAAAAGGGAAAAAGTTGCAAAATATGGTGATACCAAATGAGCATTTCTTTTAGGGATCAACTATATGCCCTGATGACTCTGCCAAGGGATGAAAAATGTCATAACAAATTAATGGTTGTGCAGTATACTTTTAAACTCATATCAGAAGTAATACAACTGAATCGATCTAAGCCTGCCTCATCTGTAAGAGATTACTGTATCCCCTGGCAGCAAGAATTTACATTGCTTATGCTATTTTATAGCCATCCACCAGGACAGGCATGGAGATGTCTTTAAAGTATATGTATTCTGTGGTCAGAAAAAGAAACTTCTAGATTGACAGACATCTAACATGCTGAATGGAAAAAAAAGGTGTTTCAGGAATCTTGCATAGAAATTGAAACCTTAAAACAGTTTTCTAGTAATAAAAAAAATTAAGGGAGGAGTCATATTCTATATAGCCCAAGCAGCCAGATTTCTAGCCCCACTTCTCCAAAACAGAAGAATGAGAAACAATTATTCAATTAGGCAGGATTGAAATTATCATACAAAAAGTACATAGCAATGGAAGGATTCCATAGCAGAATTCACTTATGGGTAACCTGAAACAACTGAACAAAGCCACAAATAGAGAAGGGCATTACTTTCTAAATATAGTAGATAATTACTAAGTTACACATGCTTAAATACTCTTATTGCTAGTTGAAAGATTTTGACTCAATTAGCCAGACTAAGATCATGCTAGTTTCATGCCACTTGTTATTCCATTTGACAGATTATTTTTTTATTATTCCTGAGTTTCTCAAAGGGCAATGTCTATATTTTTACAAGACCTGGAGGGCGTTTCAGTATCCACTGCCAATTTCTTAATCTACACTTACCAAGAATGAATATAATCAGACCAGTGGTGGGTTCCGGATCCTGTTGCAGCAGGGCCCGGCGTCCACCACATGAACGTGCACAATGTACACATGCCGTCCTTACCTCTTGCGATGCCTCCATGAGCCTCCGTGACGCTTAGGTGCTCGGTGGAGTGTTGCGCGGGAGCGCCAAAGAGCTCAAATACAGGTAAGGAGCTTGGGTGGGCCCTCCGGAGCACCGTACCAGAACGGTATCCGGTGCTCCGGGCAGGCATTGGTACACCCGTACCAGGGCATACTGCCTACAACCCACCACTGAATCAGACCCACTTATCAGTTCTGGAAACTATGAAGGCTGCAGGCCTAAAGCAAAAAAATAAAAGCCATCAAGTCCAAAAGCATATAGCATCCAATCTTTTCCGGACCAAGTGCCCAAAATGTGCGTATGCACGTGCATGCGCCAACCCCCAATGCAATGCTCTCCCATGCATGCACCCTTTCCCTTTGCACATGTGCTCATGCCCCCTACATGCGCCCCACCCCCGCATGTGTACACATCTCCCCATGTGCCCTGCCCCCGCACATTCATGACCCTGCCCATGCCCCGCCCTTGTATGCTCCCGCCCCTCCACCCCCATGCATGCATGGTGACCCAATGACCAGCTGGCTAGCGGGAGGTGCATGTGCATGCGCAGCAGAGCTGAACTGAAGTGACGGCTCGCAAGCCCAGAGGACACGCCATCACAATACTATTTAATTCTAGTATCAAAAATGGGATAGAATAGAATAGAATAAGAGAGTTGGAAGGGACCTTGGAGGTCTTCTAGTACAAACCCCTGCCTAAGCAGGAAATCCTACACCACTTCAGACAAATGGTTATCCAACATCTTTTTAAAAACTTCCAGTGTTGGAGCATTCACAACTTCTGGAGGCAAGTTGTTCCACTGATTAATTGTTCTAACTGTCAGGAAATTTCTCCTCAGTTCTAAGTTGCTTCTTTCCTTGATTAGTTTCTACCCATTCCTTTTTGTTCTACCCTCAGGTGCTTTGGAGAATAGTTTGATTCCCTCTTCTTTGTGACAACCCCTGAGATATTGGAACACTGCTAACATGTCTATAGAGCTATATAGAGTTATCATTATTATAATTTGCTGTCTATTTTACACTTAGGTTACTCTTAGGTATATCTTTTCTTCCTCTCCCTTTGCTATATGTAATGTGATATTGATTCGCTTCAACATTATTGAACAATCATTTAATATTTTAATGACTGGTAAACATTAGTACCAGTACTTCAATCTTTAATTTCTAAAGAGTCTTAGCTGGTATCTTCCCAGAGACCAAGACGTATGTCAAATAATCCAAGATTTAATTAGTGTTAATGTACAGAAATTCTTTTGTCAGCAGGCTTACAATTAGATTCAGAATTGGGGAAAGAAGAGTATTGATAGTGAGCCATTTGTTATCACATATGGAATGTGTGTGTGTGTGTGTGTGTGTGTGTTTGTATATATCTTAATTTCTAAAGCTTTTGCCTTTTTTCACTGATGTAGATGCATTTTGCATAAAATTTATATATTCTTCTATGACTCTCCCCGTTGGAATGTATTTTAACCTCTATTAGGCAAATCAAGCTTTCCTATCACATTGGAATTTTGTACATGCATAAAAATATATAGAATAAGTCAAGGTTGACTACCATCAGAAATAATTTGGAATAGCAGAAATGACATTTTAACTTCACAGAAAAATCTGTGATTAGATTCTGAAATCCTTTTTCTGTTGGATGGAGTCTGTGGATTCATCCCACAGAACTTTACGATGCCTAAGCATGGAATTTGGCCATATTCACTTTCTCTGAACTGTGCACAGTAGATAACTATATGAGGTTACAATCATCACTCTGATAAATAGCTGCCAGCTCACTTTCTCAAAATATTATTCATGCAAAAAGTCTACTTGCATGAACTCTGTATCACTGGAACTGTGAATTTACACATGGTTGCAGCTCTTATTCTGTAAGCTGAGAAAATTACAGATGATCACCAAAACTGACTGTCAGGCTTGGAATGAAGAGACAGGTTACTCATCTGGGAGTTAAGACTTCAATAGAAAAAGACAGTGTAAGATTGGAGAAAACCAATTTAGTTGATTTACATCCCTTACCAGCTTTAAAATCATATGCCTCCTTTTATGTATCATGTTCATTTATTTATTTATTAAATTTCTACACTGCCCATCTCATCCAAATGACTCTAGGCAGTTTACAACATAATAAAATGATATAAACTCTGAATAAAACCACAAATTAAAACGAGTTAGGAACAAGCTAGAACTTATAAGTTAAAAGTTTATGGAGATTCTCAGTCATCCAGGTGAGGGTTGTCCAAAGGTACTTTTTCAAGAGGCAAATAGACTTTCTGGTTTTTCTTTGAAGTAATTTTGCTTCTCATTCAAGAAGATTCTTCAAAGAAAAACCAGAAAGTCCACTTGCCTCTTGAAAAAGCACCTTTGGGATTACAAGTTACAAGTAAAAATCAAAGTTAAAAAAATTGGAAAGGTGAACGGATAACAAGATATGGCAATGTTCTCAAGCCACCAGCCATACAAGGTTTGCATCAGTTTTGTTGTACTAAAAACATTTTTTTTTTCCAATTTAACAAATTTAAAAAATTCCCATTCCAAAACTACTGGAAGAATCTACAAACAACGAAGGAAATATGTTTTAACAACCAGCATTGGAAGGATTTTTTTTTCAGATTCAAAGCCTTTTGGATACATTCATCGTCTGAAAAGAAAAAGGGAATATCCTTTCTTCTAAACTATAAATCCCAGAACTCCTAGTTATCATGATGGGAATTGTAATACAAAGCATCCTGGGTAACACTTGGCAAACTGCTTGAACATTTCCGGTGTCCTTAATGGTGCTCTAATAGAGCAAAACACCAAGACCCTCATCTTGATCCAGCCAGTTAAAGAAGGCTGAATTGGAATAGAATAGAACAAGAGTTGGAAGGGACCTTGGAGGTTCTTCATGTTTTAGCCTACAGCCCCCTAATCATCTTTGTTGCTCTTCTCTGCACTCTTTCTAGAGTCTCCACTATGGAAGCCATAGACTAGATTTGTTTAACAAATATCCCAAATTATATCCCAAATTATGAGTTCTGAATTCACAAAGATTAATTAAAAAGAACCGGCACCATCTCCAGCTATACTGATATAGACAAACCCACCCACTCCCACAATCCCTTTCGCGAGGCGTAGGAATGCTGGGCGCTCGAAAATCGAGCATCCCAAACGGGGGGGGGGGGGGAATACCAAGCGCACGTGCTCAGGCCACCCGTGTGACCTCACCGAAGTGGCAGTGGCGCGTGGTTTCGCTTGCGTCTTGTCCGGCGTGATTCCCTCCCCCGCCTGAAAGCGCAGGCGCAATAGCTGAGTTACCTAATCCGCCGCGCCCGCCTCCTTTTTCCTTTGCTCAGCGGGCGGAAGCGCAGTTCGACGTGAGAGGCGGGAGGAGGGGTCTTTGGTGGCGGCTGTTCCGGTCTCGAGGGGCTTCCTGGTTTGCAGCAGGCAGCGCTAGTGAGTAACGTGAGCGAAGGAGGCCATGAATCCGTCGATTCGTGTCTCTCCCCCCCCCCCGGTTTTAGCCTAAGGACTTGGCTTTTGTTCGTATTCCCCCCTCCCCATTTTAGAGCGCCCACGCACCTAAAGCTCATCCTTTGGTCTGTTGCCAAGGCAGGAGGACATAAAGCAGAAATGAAAGACTAAAGTCAGAGCCAAGTTTTGGCCTTTTGGGGTTATTTCCGGGGTGTACAGGATGTTTCTTAGAGAAAGTTCGGAGAAACATTGTCCCTACTTTTCCCCCCACCCCCCTGGTTTGCAGAATCGGCTAAATTGCATTTGTGTGTATTGATTATCCCATTTATTTATGTCAAGGGTTTAGCCAGGAAGGGGATCTAGGGTGGATTCCTGGCCAATGCAAACAGGAGTGTGTGTGTGTCTTTAGGGTTACAATTTCATAATAAGAAGACTGGACACAAGGCTTGGAAGAGGAAATTGGGAGAGAGAACGAAACAGTAAAGCGTTGATTCGTAAATGTTATGATGCTTTACAATGACCTGTTGTAACAGAATCAGGACGGTGGCTTTTCTCCTTGTGTTACAGGCTAGGAATATCTCATGGGGGGTGAGAAGCCAAGCCCGATGAGGTTTGAAGGCTTCTCAGCTTTGCTGGCTTTAGAAATAGTATATAATCGGGAAGAAATACACACTAGTAGTGGTAGAGGAGTGAAAGATTTAAATAACGAAAAATGTAATTTTTCAGATTCTAAGAAATAGGAAGACTTCTCCTTCCTCTCTCTGATAGCACAGAAGAAACCAATTTATGTAAGAAACCAATAACAAAATAATGCAAGGCAATGCTACCAAAGTTAACTGTTTAACTGTTAACTGAGACCTCAAATGTAAGAGAAAGCTTACTGGCTGATCTTGGCCATTCACCAACTCTCAGAGTAAAATAAAAATTAAAGAAATATGGGTACTGTATTATCTTAAATTGATGGATGAAATATGAGTGAAATAAAAATATTAGCCCATAAATTCTTGTCAAGGAATACCAAAATGCAACCACATCAAAAACTTAAATTGGCATAAGCTTACCTTTAATTGGGTGGGTGGAGAAATGAAGATAAAGTCTGAACTTGAATAATGTTGCTGTCATATTAGGAGACCTTTCTTTTTTCTATAGTTTACCTATTTCATTTTTCTCAGAAAATAAACGGTAATATGGGATTTTTAAAAATTTCCTTGATATCAGATAATCTAAAAATATTTAATATCTGCTTATTTCAGAAGCTCGCATACATTGGATAAGTGTGTTACATTTTTATTTTGAGGAAATGTTTATTAAAATTCCATCTTAGCCAGTGAGTTACTGTGAGCATGCAGTTTTCACTAAATATAGATTTGCTCATCTATGAAATAGGCTATTAATAAGTAGTCATGATAGCACCTTATAGTATTTTACATTACTGAAGTAATAATATTCCACAAGGAAAATTGGTTGGTTAAAGATGTTGACTTATCTCTTTGGTTCTTCCCATGCCCTTTTTTCTCCTTAAGGCTAGGGTACTTTCCAGATGTTTTGGATTACATCTCTCATAAGCCCCAGTCAGCATAACAAATAAACAGGAATTATGGGAATGGGAACTGAACACTGAAAACATTGGCTATAAGGCAGTGGATTTCTTACCCCATTTTCAAAAATTGTTAAATTCTATTTAGGAAAGTAAAATCACATTCTATTTTTGTCAGATAACTAATAATTTTAATAACACTAATATTTAGCTAAATATGTTTACAAAGGATTGTGGGTTCAAACCTTGATAACATAAAGTAAGCCTGAAGAGATTTCTGTTTAAAACTTTGGAGAGATGCTATCTATAGGGTAGACATATGCCGATGGCCTACCTTTATATAAAACAACTTCATATGTACTGTTTATTTTATTGTGTGTATTTTGTATATGTATGTAGTTTCAAATCAGTTGTTGATTGGATTGACCAGTCCCTGCAGTTTTCTTGGCAAGGTTTTTCAGAAGTAGTTTCCTTGCTTCCTTCCTAAGGCCAAGAAAGAGTGGCTGGATCAAAATCATCCAACTTGTTTTGTGCCTAAGGTACAACTAGAATTCAGTCTCAAAGTTTCTAGCCTGATAGAACCACTACTCCAAATTGTTTCTCGTGTATTGCATAGATAATTGATTTTAGATGAGCAGAAGAAACAAAGTACTTCTTGTCTATACTGTGATAACTCTTGATTTCTTTATTTTTAAAAATGTTCCTACAAATCTTTAGTGAGGGGTAGTTTAATCTTCGCTTGATCTAGCATTGATTCACAAATGATGCCATGCTGCATCAATTGAGAGTATATCAATATGGGCGTATGATTTGATTTGAGAACTTGAGTTAATAAACCATGCTTTCATCATCAGTTTTGTATGAAAGGAATTCTTGTTAGAAATACCTGGATATCCCAAGGTTCATATAAATTAGTACAATGTGAGGAAAATTAAGTGTGTGAACTTTTGGACAACAAGCCACCTACTTATCATAGTGCTAGGTCTTGCTAGGTTTACTAAACCATTGGTTAGATTATATGTGAGGTTTGGTTGTGTGTGTGTTATAATATGAAGGGTTTCCTCTATTTGCTAAGGTATGCTTGATGTGTTACAATGTTTGTCAGATTATGTTGCTTGCCAGAAGGATTGGCAAGGTAGATTATTGTAGTTTGGGTGTTTGCAAGCTGCAGACATGGTAGTTCTTTATTTTCTGACTGTGAGCCTTGGCTTTTTTTAAAAAAAAAAGCTTGAGATGGTATTTACTTGGGAAAGTCATGCTTTACACAAATACACAGCTTTCAAGAATTGTCTACTAATGCCAAACCTGGTAAGTTTTCTTTTGAACTATGCCAGCTCATGAACTGGCTTGGACAATTAAGGGAGTCATGACCTATTCAGAAGAACTTGGCAAAGAAAGAGGAAAAAAGGGAAATCAGGTTGTATGGAAGCTGTTCCCTCCCTGAAATGTATGAGTCCTTTTGGTCTGCAGTATTAATAGTATTTAAGTGTCAGTGCAATAATAAAGACACTAAATAGAATCGGGTGGAATTCTGTTGCTTCTCTAGAGAGGGATCTTGTCTTACGTCATGGAATTCATTATGTTATAGCTCTGAGGAGTTAGTGTATATAGAGGGGGATTTTGTGTCAGTACCTGTCTATGTACACTGGAACCTAACCAGCCATGCCATTGGGATGCAAAATATAATTATGATAAAAAATTATTTTAATCCCTAATAGAACATTGGAACAATTCACTACAGTATGATGTAATATTAGAGTTGAATCCAGAGGAATTTAAACAGATGCTTACTTCAGTGCCTTTGTTGGATCTTTGCTGATTTGAAATTTGATCATATTTGGATATAGCTATTAGACTCTAAACTGAGGACATTGGACTCATCTTTTAAAGTTACATCAACAAGCTTGATATACTGTTTCAGAATTTTTGAGTATGCAGAAATCAGGCTTGTCAGCTAGACCCAAATTTATTTTAGGTAGTGAAAACCTGTCAATTGCTGCTGTGTGTGATCTTTGAGCAGAAATATTAAAAGCCCATTAATCCTAGGTAAACTTTCCCTACTTTGCAAAGAATTACGTCAGATTCTTCCAGGACTGCATTTGAACGCTGATATTTTTTATAAAACTAGTTCTTGGAGTTGGGTTTCCCCAATATTTAAATGAATTTCAATGGTAAAAGCTCTCACAAGTCATTGTTAAAGTCTTAAAAGCACATTTAGACATTACAATTAAGTGAATGGCAAAGAATAGATCATAATTTCAGTTGTTTCCAGGGATGAAAATGCCAATTGGTCCTTGTGTTGCAGTCTTCTTGTAACTTGAAAGCCTGAATCAAGATTGTAATTGAAAGCTATATGAAATCTCAGCTGATCAAGAATCTTCCCATACATGTGCGGAAAGATATCTGAAAGTGCAAGTATTCTTCATAGTTTATGCTTTATTGGCTGTCATTGGTTTTTAAATCCCATATAGAATATTGACTTTAAACTTGGGTAACTTGCAGTCCTGTGAATATTATTGAAATGTAAATTTCATAATTTTCAACCAGAATGTGATATTGGAATTCGGTATTTTGACTGCTTTGAGTTGCCCAAAATATATAAAATGGATAGATAAAAATATAATAACAGCATTCATATAGTTTAAATGTTGTGAATTGGAGATGCTATGGAAACTTCAAAGTGGTGTTTGGAGGCTGTTTGGATTTGGATGAGATGAAATAGACTGAAACAATTTGAACTCATGTAAGACAAGTTACTGCTTGTGCAGAAGAAGTAGACCTTAGTTGAAAGAGCTTATCTCCAACTTGGTGCTCTTCCTTGACTTACGGCCTACTTCAAAATAGAAGTTGCAGCTGTGGGACCTGTTCCCAAAATTGGCTGTGTGCCAATTGTGACCTTAATTGGACAGAAGATTTTTGTCATAGTGATTCATGCATATATTTATTAGCTGTGGGGGCGCTGTGGTTAGAATGCAGTATTGCAGCCCACAGCCATGAATTTAATTTGATGGGCTCAAGGTTGACTCAGTTTTCTATCCTTCTGAGGTTGGCACACAAAGGAGCCAGATTGTTGAGGCAATATGCTGACATTTGTAAACCACTCAGGGAGTGCTATGAAGAACTATGGAGTGGTAAATAAGTCTAAGTGCTGTAGCTGTTGATAGTATTTAAATTACTGCAATGTGCTCTAGATGGTCTACCTCTCAAGACTACTTACAATTGGTGCAAAATATAGCATCTTGTATATTAACAAGCCAAAATCACCATAATCATAAAATAACTGTTTTATGGTTGTTGTGTTGATTATTAGTAGATTTCCAGGTTCAAAGTCCTGGTTTTGACCCACAAAGCCCTGCATAATTTGGCTTTTGCCGGGCTTCCAGAAGTTATTAAGACAGAACTATTGAAAAGCCTCTTTGGGTAGTCAGTGGATATCAATGCAACTATTGTATTATTGTAAATTTTAGGTTTTACTTTATATTTTGTGAATTAAACTGTTGGGAGTTATTTTGAATGTGGCAGTATAAACAAATAGGGAGATTTTTTTTGGCTTAGTTGTTGGCAAGATTACATGACCTAATACAGAGTTTTCACAATGACTTCCAAAATTCAGGAATCTTTTGAGAAATAAATTGGCTGCTATTTGTTGTTTGTTTGTTTTTAAATAAATGTGTACAGTGTAACATAAAAATATTTTTAAAGGCTAGGTTTTGGTTGATGTGGTGAATTAATTGGAAAGCTATACATTATTGATACTATTTAATGTGTTTATTGGTTGTAAGCCACTTTAATCAGTTGGAAAAAGTGGTGTGTAAATATTTAACAACATTTATAAATTACTGAAATGCTCAGTGAGGTCAGAGCTTGGTGAACTTCAGAGAGCTTGATAAAAAGAGTTGGAATTTTTTCTCTTTGGTTTAGCATGTATTTCTTCTATTGTTCCTTGTCTGGGCTATGTTAGTTACCATCTGAATGGATTCCAATTATGTGCCGGAACTATTACTGTCTCTCCCTCCTCTCAAGAGAACACAGGGCCTGGTTTTCTTTAAGAATTCAAGATAAATTGTTTATTTGACTTCATCCTTCTCAGTTTTTTCTCCCTATGTCATATGCCAATGTAATTGTTTTCTCTCTTTTTTATCCATTAAAATTAATAGACCTATAAACAGAAATATTCATCTAACTTTAGTATTTATATTTAAGCTGGTTTATAAAAACTATTGACTCATTAAATTATTCAAATTAGTGAACCCTATTTGGGTAGAGACACCTGCATGGTAGAACATTTTCCCTTATTGCCTGTCGCAAAAGAAATAATGGACGGTATCTGCTTTGTGATGAGCTTCACTAAAGAGGCAGAATTTATTCAACCTGGAGTATCTGCACAACTGCAAGCACTGAGTACCATAAGTCACCTCTTCTTTCTATTTTCCAAATCACATTTCTTTGGTATCTGTCAAAAAATTCTTGACAAGTAGCTCTTTTGGTAAGGATTTTAACATTGGTAAAGAGGGAGGGGGGTGTTCTTGATTAAAAAATTTTTTAAAAATCAGGACTTTTTAAAAACGCCACGGGGCTTGGAACAAATTGTTCAAAAGTGGGACTGTCCCGCCAAAAGCGGTATGTCTGATCACCTTATCTTTTGGGTAAATTGATAAAGAATCCTCAGATTGTCTCATCTCTTCATGCTGCATGCAGCGCAGTAGAGAGCTGCAGAATTTTTGGTTGACAAGTAGGTTTTCTAGCCCTCTGCTAAAAGACGCAAGTGACTTTGCATAGCCTTGGAATACATTTCTCACAAGTATGTAGTATTACCCTAGTATTTTTATTTTTAGTGCAGTATGCACTTATATCTTATGGAGACTTTTGCCTTGAGTTAAAAGTTTTCTTTCAAAAGCATAAAATCCACTGAACACATTGGGGCTTGATTTTGAATAAAGAGATAAAGGTAAAGGTTTCCTGGCCAGTCATGTCCGACTCTCCATTTCTTGAATGATAGAGCCAGTGTTATCCAAAACATGCCTAGAAATGCACCATAGAATAGATGAACTGAAGTTTTGTTCACTGTGAAGCTTGTTCTCTGCATTAATGAAATTTCTACATTGGTTTGCTCAGCTTCATTCTTTTTTTCTTTCTTTTTTCCCCCTAGATAAAATACTTACCATGATGTTCAGTGGATATGACGATGCAGACACGTTTGAAGATGATCCTTATTCTGAAGGGTCTTCCAGTGAAGCAAGCATTGATAGTGAAGTAGAATTTCATCTTTACAGTCAAGTCCATTATGCACAAGACCTTGGGGATGTCGGTGAAAATAACAATAAGGATGTCAAAGGACAAGAAGAATTTAAGTCCTTGAAGAAAGAGAAATTGGAAAATGAACAAGATCTGAGAAATAACTTAATTGTCATTTCAGATAGTGATGTTAACATTTCAGATAGCTCAGATGTCATAATATTGTCTGATACCCCTGAGGAAGATAGCATTTATGAAAGTAAACTCCAGAAACCAACAGCATCAGTGTCTCCATCATTACGTAAATTAAATAAGACTGCTTACCCTCGTGCCAAAAAATCTATTGAACACCCTTCCCGGCCTATTGTGAAATCTGAGGATCAGATTAAGGTAAATTCAAATAAAGCAAGAAAGGCTGATGAAAAGGCAATCTTGAATAACCAAGATGATGTTCACATGATTCATAGAGTTTTAGTAACTGAGGACAGCTCCAGCAGCGATGATGCAATTGATGTGTCAAGTATATCCTCTGAAAGTGATAATGTGGAGAGCTGGATGCTGCTGGGAAGTGCCGCAGATGACAAAGATGATGATATCCTGTTAAATCTTGAAGGCTGTAGAACTTCAGCCAGTGGAGGTTAGTATGTTTTTTTGTGTGGTGGTTTCAAGCAGCTACAAGGAAGATTAGGTATCACAATAGAAAGAGTAAATATAAAGGGTCAAACAGGTTTGGGGTATAGGAAAATAAAAGTATGATGACCACTATAAAATATATTGGTACCTTTGTAAAGCAGGTTGTGTTGTTTGAATAGCAGGAAAGCATTGCCCTACACCTATTTATAAGGAAATACAGTCTTCCTGCAATATGTCCACAGTTTGTAACCTTAGTGAGAAAAGAAGAGCACACTGAAGTGAACCTAATGTGCATCTGCAATAAAAAGATTACAAATATTATACTGATGCAATAAATGAGGAAAACAAACAAAAGGCATAGTATACTTTTGAACTGATGAAATTCTGTAAAATTATAATTTAAGCCATTAAAATTTCCAATTAAGAGAGAATAGTATTTGGAGACAGTGATAAAGTTTTTTTAAAACAAGTTTGGGGTAGTCTTGGTTTCTCCTTTACAAATAGCCCTTGATTTAAGACAATTCATTCAGCAACTGAAATTACGATGGTGCTGAATGAAGAGACTTATGACCAGCTGTTGAAGTTATAGCTTCTGTACAGTAACAAGATAAAAATTCAGGTGCTTGGCCGCCTGCTCAGACTTCTCACCACAAGAGCACTGCAACTATCTCCACCTACCTATCCCCTCCCCTCAATTTAGGTCATCTTTCCCAGCAACATTTGACAGGTCCAACACTGAGTCTGAAGTAGAGAACCTGGGTCTTCAACTATGTCAGCCAGCTGCCACTGCTGTCACATCTCGGCTTCAGCTGTAGTGCTGCTGCCACCACTGAGAAATGCTATCCACACCATAGCCAGCCATGTAATATGCTTAACATTGAGAGTCCAGTCTGAATTGTCATAAATTAAGGATTATCTGCATTCTGCCTGTCTTCCACCAACGTCATTAAAAAGGCACCAGAAATTTTAGTCATGTTCTCATTCCCATCTTAATTCAAAATATGGTATTTTCACAGGGGAAATGTATTTAATGACAATTGCCTGATGAGTGTTTTGTAAGATTTGCTGTCTGAATATGTTACTGTTTTACAAGTAAAAACTTAAAATTAGGTTTCTATGCTATTAGCAAGGAAACACAGAAGATATGAGGTATGTATGAAACACCTAAAAACAAGTATTCATTTAATTTAAGCATACAGATCTTAATATTTTTATTTTCTACATTATATTTATTTATTTATTCGATTTATACAGTCGCCCATCTGAAATAAGTGACTCTAGGCAGTGAACAATTGTAAAATAAATTAAAATGAATTAAAAAACAGATTTTATAAACAAGTAAATACATATAGCAAATAAAATTATAAAATTATGTATAGGAAATTATAGCCAACAGGTGTTAACAAAATCAGGAAATGGGGCCTTGGATTTGCTATTGCTATTAACAAAATGGAGCCTCAGGCCTGGACACATAATCAGGTTTTTAAGGCCTTATAAAAGGCCAATAGGGTTGAATGCTGTAGAGGGCAGGCACTACAGCAGAAAAGGCATATTTCCTAGTCTCCACCAGCTGACATTCCCCCCCCTCTAACACACAAACACACTCACACACACAGCATATATTGATCATATAAACTACATGCAATACATAAACAATACAATAAATAAATATTAATATTTTATTTTCCATATTATATTGCCGTATAAGTATAATCTTTACTGTCATTGTATTTAAATACAACGAAATTGGTTTTAACTTCACTGGTGCAAAATTATAACAGAAACGAAAAAAGAAAGAAAACTAGTGTGTGCATGGAGTGATTGTGGTTGTATTTAAAAGTCTCACAGCTCAAGGATAGAAACTATCTTTAAACCTGTTTGTTTGGCTGGCTATACTTTGATGTCTTCCGCCTGAAGTGCAAAGAGACACTGACCAGGGTGTGAATCATCTCTGTGTATCTTCCTTACTCTGCTAAAGGAGCGAGATCTGGCGATGTCATCCAGTGGTGTCAGAGGGCAACCAATGGTTTCTTGTGCCAAATTGATCACTCTCTGTAGTGCCTTCCTGTCCACAGCTGTTAAACCAGCATACCATACTGTAATACAATATGTGAGGACACTTTCTATGGTAGACCGATAGAAAGAGGTCATCAGCCGTTGTACCCCCTGATTTTTTCGCAGGACTCTAAGGAAATGAAGTCTCTGTTGGGCCTTTCCAATCACCAGAGACGTGTTGTTTTTATAAGTTCTGTTTGTATACTGATTGCATTTTGTACAGTATTTTTGGTCATTAAGAATAAACATTTCAACCTGAGATTTAGTGTCAGCATACTGTACATATTTTCTTGGACTGTATTATATCAGCATGTGCTAGCTTCTATAATTTAGCTCCTCGAATTGTAACATCTAGCCAAGCTTTTAAAAGGACTAACCTTGGGAGGCAACATCAATAGCCACTCGGTCTTGTCTGGATTGAGTGCAAGCTTGTTCGCTCCCATCCAGACCCTGACAGCCTCCCGGCACTGGCACATCACTTCCACTGCTTCGCTGAGTTGGCACGGGGTGGACAGATACAATTGAGTATCGTCCACATATTGATGGTATTTGATCCCATGCCGGCGTATGATCTCACCCAGCGGCTTCATGTAGATGTTAAACAGGAGGGGGGACAGGACCGAACCCTGCGGCACCCCATATTTGAGGGGCCTAGGGGTCGACCTCTGTCCTCCAACCAACACCGACTGCGACCTGTCCGAGAGGTAGGAGGAGAACCACCTTAAAACGGTGCCTCCCACTCCCACCTCCCGTAATCGTCGCAGAAGTATTCCATGGTCGATGGTATCGAAGGCCACTGAGAGGTCAAGGAGCACTAGGATAGAGGAATGTCCTCTATCCCTGGCCCGCCAGAGATCATCGATCAGCGCGACCAGAGCAGTTTCTGTGCCGTAACCAGCCTGAAACCCGACTGAAAGGGATCCAGATAATCTGCTTCATCTAAGGTCCGCCGGAGTTGAAAGGCCACCACCTCCTCAATAACCTTCCCTATGAATGGGAGGTTGGAGACTGGGCGATAGTTGTTTAAAATGGCTGGATCCAGGGATGGTTTCTTAAGGAGGGGTCTCACCACCGCACCCTTTAGAGGATGTGGGAAGGATCCCTCCAGAAGAGAGGTGTTAACAATCCTCTGGAGCCAGCCACATTCACCTCCCTGCTGGTCGAGACCAGCCAGGAGGGACACGGGTCCAGTAAACATTTGGAGGCACTCACCGCTCCCATGGCCTTGTCCACTTCCCCAGGAGCAACAAGTTGAAACTCGCTCCATAAAATCCGATCAGGACCTTCCCCCGGCGCCTCGGCTGGTACCGTCCGTTTGTTATGCATCCTCATTCTTCTTCCAAAGGCAGTGGGAAAAGTCTCTGAAGCACACTTTGAAGTTGACTGGGAATAGCAGTGGGAAGGAAGATTCAGTCACCATTCTCTTGTACAGTCCATAGAAATTGCTTGTGTGGGAATCCTGTTGGATGGCCCAGGCATAATTTAATTTAATTTAAATTTAAATTAAATTTAAAACAAATTTAATTTGTTTTTGCCCAAAGAGCTTAGTAATTGATGAAGAAACACACTACACAACTTAGATAACTTTTCTTAAATGGTGGACATGTCTGAAACTTTGGAAGGATCTTGTGAGTAGTGTGTGTCATAAAATAGTAATGATTGAGGAGTGATTTGATTTTTCATTAAATGGTGAGTGGGTCAGATAGAAACATCCTTTTTCTGGAGATAAAGAAGTGTTTTGTTCTTTTTCATCCACATTTGCTCTCAAGGAAACTGACAAGTATTCCAGTTTGTCTTGGTCATTTTTCTTGGTAGATGGCCATGTTTCCAACCATATATTTCCATTGTCTTTATTCTCTACAGTGCCGGTTGACCTAAATTATATTCAGCTTTTTTTTAAACACACCATTTTCTATTTACTTGGCTTTCAAATAAAATCAGTGGGTAACAGAAATGGTTGGTGTCAAGTTAGATATCTGTTTCTTATTTTTTAAAAACTGTACTCCATGGTGCTAAGACAACTTTTGTCAAAGAAACTATTAAATTAAAATATTTATTCATTGAAAATGTTATTACTTGAGCATGTAACTGCTGTATTGCCAATCAAAACACAAAATAGTTTTTAAAAACTAACAATCCAATATCGGCATACGTTAAGTAACAATAATAACAAAATCTTTCATGACTGTTCAGTATATTTTTGAGATTTGGATCTTTTACCACTTAAACATTTGAAACAAATCTCTGGATTAGAGCTATTTTAAGCAAGTAAAAATTCAGTGCTAAAAGTAAGGAAAATACTCTGTCACAAAAGATTTTCCATTATATTTCCCCCCCTGTCAGTTTCTAAGAATGAGTTAATTGAATAACATACACAGCACATACTATATAAATAGTACATGTTACTGATGTTATACAGTAATTTAAATAACAGATACTTTTTCATACATGTAGAATTAGAAGCCATCATCATTAAGCCATCAAATCTAAATGATATAGTTGTAAAACAGGAAGTCATATGACTTCATTGCTTAGTGACTGCAATTCAGGCATTCCTTTGAATGAATATCTACTCCAAGCCAATCCATTCTGGGTTTGATCCCTCTCAGTCCCTTCTTCCTCCACCTGTGAATCCACCCTACCCCATTTCTGTCCTTTTGACTGCCCTGCACTGTGCCTTACTGGGCAGGAAGCAGCCCTAGAACTACATGGCTCTGGGGCTCTTGCCACACCCAGGAAGCTCCATGTTTGTTCGTTTTTTGTTATTTTCTCTTCTGGTTCTGAAATAGACTGCCAAATGTATTTTGACTGTTCTTCAGCATGCTTGGGAACTTGTTCTTTGGAAATGTCTTACAAATTTTATATCCATTATTTATTTCTACAAAAAAGAGAAATATTTGTAAGTAGTTGCAGAACCCTCTGTCCTTAATATTCCCTGTTCCTTTCAAC